TTTCCATATTGCTTATATGTTTACGTATTGTCTCATGAGAGACATGTAATATCAAGGCCATTTCACGACTGTGTTGCCTTGGGTTAGACTCAACAAGCTTCGTCATAGCATCTTTATCAATTCTAACAAGCCGGCCCTTGCCATGACAGTTTTTAAGGTTAAAGTCATCTGAACGAAATTTGCTGAACCATCATTAACACTTACGAACGTTCAAAATATTTCCATAAACTTCTTTAATATTCTTTGTGACTACAGAGGCGTTGTTTCCCTTGTATTCAAACATCATTACATGCCGAATGTGTGTCTCGTTGTGTTCCATCACTATAAGGGATTAGAGTACACTAAACTTTACACATTATATAGGTTACACTGATGTGACGTTTAGGTAGTTCGTTTAACTATTATACGTGATGGTTAATGAAAGTGTTCCAAAACGCGACAGTAATTTCGTGACGAGCTAATACTTTTACCTTGTTTGAATTGTTTTTTTTGTTGTTGTTTTTTGTTAACAGCAGTGTCAATTTCATATATTTTTTTATTCATAAGGGTGCAGTGAAGTTTGTTTGTATCCAGATAGTTTGGGGTGATTGGTAGTAAGTATTATGCACAAACATTTAAGAAACAAATGCATGCATTTCAAAACATAAGAAGCCAATTGTACATTAAAACTACTCGTATTTCTTTGTAAGATATATATGAAACGTTTCCAAATTATTTATTTTCAAATTCTATATTCTATGTCTGCCTCCGTTATTTTATAGCTGGAAACAAAGTTCTTATAAATAAATTGGCCTACGCTATATACGCTATATTAAATTGTCACGTGACAACCACAGCTAGATTGAAGTCATGGTGAAACGGTATGTACCACATACATTTTGCCGTTGTTTTGTGTTTCATATCTAATGTATGCCATCAAAATATGATAGCTTTTGGGAAGAGTATGTAACAGTAATTTCCGGCGCATAATATTCATACAATCAGGTCATAAAGATATGTTGAAATTGTGGATTCAAAACTTCCAAAACGAGGATATCAGTTACACTGGAGACAATGGAATATAGGCCAAATAGTGGCACATTGTTTATCCATAAAGAGACCTGCAACATGTCGTACCGAAGCCATGATAAGCAAAATAAGGCGTCTTGAAATAGGAGATAATCCACGAACACAAAGTTCACTGGTAAAATCCGTCCATGTGTCCTAGGCAACATAATCAAGATGGCTCTCCATCTAGAAAAGCAATACAAGTCACGTGTACACAAGTTATTTCCGTTCAATCATTGCATAGCTCAAACAGCTCGAGAATGAAGCGGGTTTTCATGCTATTCTACACCAAAGTATACCGGACAAGTCGCTGGATGCATCGTCTATGGATTTTTATGTGATTGAACTGCAGAAACAGATGCTGGGAAACCGTCGATCTTGTAAATTATATTGGTTATGAAAAGCATGCAGATAGGCGTGGTGTGCTTCAGGCATGACAACCTTAAAAAAGACCCTTTTGCAATGAATACTGCGTTGGAGAGATATTGTTAAAAAATACACCTTCGTTATTGTTGAACGTTTGCGACATGGTCTGTAACTACGTGGTAAAGCTCCAAAAACGTTTTAACATAAAGTACTGAACATCTGTTATCAGTGGTTGCATATTTTATAATTTTATTTCTGGTTGGATTATTTTTCCAATGACTGATACGTCCTAGAACTTGTGTTACCATATATGTATTAGTAGTCATTAACGGTAATTGATTAGAGAAGTTCAGGTGATAAAACAAGTAAACTATTTGTGATGTTTCTGTGTCACTTATTTTAGCGCTACTACATATCTGAAGGATATATGGTTAGAAATGATTCGGTTAAGATATTCCGAATCGGATATTTTTTATTTTTACAAAAGTTTACAAAAACGTAATACGTACATTTCAGGTAGGAAAGTAAAGTATGTTGTTTTATGTCTCTTTACTTATATATTTTTTCTGGTTATATAATGAAGATCGTTGTAGAATTCATGAGTCAAAATAATTATGTGTCTTTAAGTCATGGGTATCCTTAAGAGGGTAAATATTCTACAAACGTACAATGTCAAGTTGTTGTTTTTAGATTACTGAGACCGGACACCTGCCCCTATAATGGTATCAGACATGATTCTTGTCCATGTGTAAAGGAACGTAGAATAGGATCAGGACTGACGACTTTCAGCAAGGTAGCAATTAACATCACAACTCTACAAGTTTTGTGTAAGTTGACTTTATTATTAGTATAATACGTAATAAAGCGATATCTTTCTCAAGACTAAATAATAAATACACACTATTACTTATATAAAACTTACTACTATATTAAAGCTTTAAAGTAATAATCTGCTGTTGAATATTCTATTTTTTAAAGTTTTTATAACGACAATAGGCAATTCGAGCTATTCACGTGTTAGAGCTGCATCTTTTCTTATTAATAATAAAAAGAAATGGTAAACTCTACAGGAAATTTTACTGAGTTTTAATTATTAGGAAGGTCTCTACTATCGGACATCTTGCCTTGTAGTATTATAAGCTTCTTCTTCAGGTCGTTGAGATAGGTTATGTACAGCTTTGCTGATCTCTGACGCGTTCCTGGTTGAAGGATCTTGTGTGCTCTATTTTTTTTATCGATTGGTTCTTTTTTCATAAGTACAGTACACACAATGTTTATATTTGCTTCTCCCTATTTATGCCCACTTGCCAACCATGTCCCTCAAACAGAGTATTATATTATGTTTACCTAAGTATTTTTCTCAAGTTATATGTTATGTTGTGAAATTAAACAAAGAAGTATTTTAGCATTATTTACACATTGTCTGTTGTAATTTTGATATCTGATTGATGCTCTATCTTTTCAGCAAACTTAACTTGTTGAAGGTTGTTGGTCATTGTTTTATGTTTTCACTACGACAGCGGACGATTTCACCTTCAGTAAAACATTACGTGGACACAGAGTTAGATTTGGAGAAGCTGGGGACTGTTACAGTTTCAAGGAATGCCCTCAGGGCCGTTTCTCTATCAGCTTAAAGGGTACAGGTTTAGTCGTGTCAGAGGCCATACAATGGAAAATGTACGGAACTAGACCCGCTGCCAGAATACAAAGATTAGAGGTAAGAGTCATCCTCTTGCGATCAAAATTATTAGAAAACCAGTAAGCTCGTTTAACTTACTGCACGTTTTAAAATATATTTAGGTCCGAATAATTTAGATTTTCAAATAACTGTACTTTCTTGACAATCCTGATCATAATCTGTAGTTTTCTAATTTTTTAGCAAAGCAGAGAAATATAAAAACGTACTTGCAAATATTTATGAGTGCTTAGTAAAATATACTAAAATTTTGAATTATATATAAGGACAAATATTAAAAATTATTTCAAATAATAACGCTTAAATTGGTTGAATACTAAATCCAAAACATTTTAAACTCATCGTCTAATTTTAGATTTTTCCACAAAAACTTACCCATTTTAGTAACTGCAAAGGGATACTACATAATTACTACATACTACATACTCCTAAACCGGATCATAAACCGGACTTCTTTTGCTTTGAAAATTGCTCAGTATGTTTAACTTGTGTCAAATGATTTGCTTATGTCGACATGATAGCATGTATTTGTGTGGGTGTACCTAACGTTACCATTATCAGATATATTCAATGCAAGTAATATATATAGATATATGTATAAGTTACGTCATGAGACAACTAACCATATTAGAAATCTACTTATCTCATTGTAAGTTTTAGGCGGTTGTACTGTGTTTAAATAGTACGACTATAAAAACTTGCATCGTCACTAATATTATTATACATTAATATTTAGTAATATAATTTAAGCTCAACCTTTTAAGCAAGCTGAGATTCAGTAGGTGTCACCTTGAAACACTATTAGCAGCAAGAGCATCAAATTTACATCTTTTAACACAGGAAAAAATTAACTAACTCTTCAGAAAGCGTCAAAAAGAACATGGAACAGAAACAGTCAAATAAGTACCAGGTAAAATATCCTCACATAATAAAAACAAAATCCAGTTTGTAAAGATTATAACAGCAACCACAATAAATTGACAAGACGCAATGATCAGGTTTGAATATCCATCCTATTCACTAACGCAGCGATACGTGAAACGCAGCTTGAAAATGGTCTTTATGACGCACTCAAATGACGATCTCCACGATAATAAAACTAACTACTTCTGTATCAACATAATCAACTTTCAACGGGATGATGGAAACTGTCAAGAACAAAAACATCTAGCTCGCTTCTATCACCACTACTTATATTTCCATGATAATGTAGTAAGAGGAGCTGGTCTAAACCATAGGATTTGGCCACACACTACAGACAAAATTAAAACTTTCATGAACTACTTGTACACATAATATTCAGCGATACAATTCACAATAGAATAAGAATAAACTAAATGAATAAACCCATATTCCTATACGTGATGGTTACCAAAACACATAACTCCGGGAACAAGAACCTAAAAATATGCTCCCTTTCCTAGACATGATGGTTACTAGAACACATAACCCGAATATCACAGGATAAGGGGAATACCTCTACTATAAACTAAACCATCTAAACAATGTAAAGACGAGCTTCATAGATTGTCTAGTCTTCAGACTGAACAAGATTTGTAATATAAAATATGTTACGAAAAATGAAGAAAAACATGTCATTAAAGCCTCCATGATAATGGCTACCCATAACATTTGAAAAATAAGAGAAAAAGTATACTAGATGTACTTCCGCAGGGTTTCCGAAAGTGTTCTGTTTCAAAAGTAAATAAAACCAAAATTATAAGAGAAACAATTATTTTTATTCTTTGCTTTCAAAGTTCATATGTCATGCTACGTTGTAGCCTACAGAATGCATAATTCTTCTCATGTTTCATGGCATGCGCATATTTTACTGAAGTCAGTTTAGCACAAATTGCAATGTTAAGTGTACATTATGTGATGTAATTTTAGTGTTTACTAACTGACTGACAAACAAAACAATACTGAATAGTGATGCGAGTGGCTAAAACAGGTACCTTCAATAGCCCAACTATTAACAACAAATAATCAATCTGTATAAAGTCTACCAAAACTAACGTTTACTAAAAGAAGAAACTAAGTTGTCCATGATATTCAAAAATAAAACATGTTATTATGCATTAATTATCTGTATCATATATTTTTTCCATAGTGTCAACAAAGAAATATATTCACTGATAGAATGCTTTTAAAAAGTCCTCGTGTACCCCAAAGTTCTGAGCCTTCAGAAGTGATTCACTCATTACCTCTTTGAAATGATTGATGGTCCGAAGAAACATGTATATATCTCCTTGTTCCTTCTCAATCTTTTTTTTCCATACTGTATACATTTACCCACGGATGATGTTAGGCTTGTACAGTTATCTAGAATTTTTCCTCAAGAAATCAAAGTAGATGACATCGTGCATATCATCAGGGTCAATTCTAATTGCTAAGTATCTCACACGTTGTTGCGTGAGTTCACAAATTAAGGGCTCGTACGCAAAACAGAGCCAAGACAATAAATTATTTTTAAGGGTATAACTCACGATTGAATAAATCATTGAAGCTAAAGAAAGACTGGGAGCTTCAGCTCAATGCTGTTTTCCTGTTTAAATGTATGCTTTTTTGTATTTACAAGATCAGTAACTCAGATAAGCATACAATATGAAATACATAAGATGATCTAACCTAAGTCCCACCCTCTTTCTTGAAATATAAAAAACCTACAATATCCATACTGAGTATGTGCTCTTCTGTGCAGTCTTTATTGTGTGTTGTGAATTCTGAACCCAGTTACCTTCTCTTTAAGTTCGCCCCTGTGTTAGGATATGGTGTTATGTTCAAAACATTTATCAAAGATAATAAATTTATCTTTAGAATGTATGTTGAAAAGTTCCAAACACGCATTGTGAGTTGTATGTCTGTTTTTGTCTATTGTTCCAGAAAGGGCAAATCGTACAAGGTAAATGTGGTGGCTATTGCGGTAAATGTTCACCGGATATGAGTAGTGGCCTTCTTTTAGACATAACTCCGCCATGACCAAGGTAAATTTTGTGCCAATTTTTCATTCAATACCAATTGTTATAAATACAAAATATTCAAGAACTTTTCTTCCTGAAATTCTAACATTTTGTTGATTTACGGAACTAAAAGACGAAATATAAGAGTATATATATTATTATAATGAATATCAATATTTAATTATATGAAAATTGTATCTCTCAAAAATCCTTCATTAATGATATGGTATTTTCCCCTACTAATTGGTTGCATTGTTAGAAGAACGTGTGAATCGTGTTATGTTATATATTATTACTATTATTATAGCATAACTAACATATTATATTCTATAACGTGTACGATATTCTTGTTCGATTTTCATTATCTGATTATTCGTATAACTTATCTTAATTTAATTATGATAACTGTTACAGTACAGTAACCAAAAGACTCCATTAAGGACCAACGCGAACAGTAGTTGGAAGCATTTACACAAATAGAAATGAAGTACTACCTTGAGATGGTAAATAAAAATAAAAAACATGACAAATTGTAAGAAAGCAGTTTTAAGTAAGTAATGTATGGACAGACGTGAAAATGTAGATATTCAAATAAATAATCCGTGGTAGTAAGACAAATTAAAAACGGCAGTAAATCAGTCAGCCAAATAAATAACGTGTGGTAGTGAGAGGCAGTTAGACAATATCTGGGATTACTTTGACAACTAAAACACCTTTATATTTGAAGAACTTTAGACAACAATTGTATTGGAGGCAACAAGAGCAACAACATGAGGTGTACTTGGAGAATGTTGAGCATCTAGAAAGAAACAATGAACAAATGTTGAACTTATTTCTTGAGTAAAATTATTGATCAATTTCACTTGTTCGATTCCAGTTTATATAATAAAATAAAATTCAGATCTTATTTCACAGTGTATATCAACATTGTGAGGGTGGAAAAACTCAGTTCTTTTTAGAAACTGTGTAGCATGTGCTTACAATAGCCTAGAATAAAACAATGGCTTCTTTACTTAAATGTCAATATAGGTTATACGCCTATGTTTTAATTATGCAGTATTGAAATAGGTTATAGTACTTGTTTTTATACTTATCGACTTTTTAAATTTAGATAATAGTTGTTTTTATTATAACTTTAATTAGATCGAGGATAATTATTTGTGACGTTATATCAATAATAAATGTATAACGAAATGTCGCACTTCAAGTGTGTATTTTACAATAAAGATATTGTATCTTGTAGATACTTTGTCAAGCATACCTCTTTTGACATGACCTTCTCTGTTTCTCTGTGTTTTTGTATTTCCAGGACTACATTTACGAGCAAGATATCAAGTACTCTGATATTGGTCAGCAAGATTCAAACTCAGTATTCTTCTATTAGCTTGCAGGTTCATTTGTAAATAGCTCATCAGACATACCTCATTTAGCATGTTGCCCTGTCTCCACGATCTGTAACTTACAAGTTGAGAAACGTGCTGTGCTGTTTTCTTTCACATGCGACTCCAGGAAAAAGGGCCTTACTAATGCTGGTCTATTAAGGAAAATTTATTATCACAGTTTATGTTTATTTAACAGAAACGTATATTTGTTGATGTTAGCAGATGTTTTTTTTAATAGTATGAAAAATGGAAAGTGTTATTTTCAGGGAGCCCTAAATAGTGAAAATGCACTATGCAATGACATAAGAATTTGAACTGTATATGTATTTTAAAAAAATGAAATTTATGATATATGAAACAAATTTATACGCACATAGATTGAATACCGTACTCTATTGGGTTTCAGAAAGGACAGAACCCCTTTTTACCCCCCCCTTCTCATTTTTTTGGTGTCTGTTTTTTATATTTTTTTTTCAAGTAGTGGAAGTATCCTCTCTTGTAGCTGACACTAAATTATCATTTGTTGTTGTGGGTACAACTTGCTCGAGTTATTTTTTTATCTTATAATTTTTAGCTTCATTATACTCTCAAGGTGAGGTTTCGATTATGCATGTTTCATAATAAACTATTAAACAAAGTATACAGAGTTCGTTTATTTTTTTCAAAACTTTGCTAGAGATACTTAACTTGCAAGTAACTTTTATAGCATAACCTCACACACATTCTCAAGTTTTGAGGTAATTCTGTGAGGTAATTTTTGAAGTCCCAAATCTTTTTGGTATGTTCTATGTATAGATTCTTAAGAACTTAACTCGCTTTTGCTTATAACAAGATATAGAATCAAAATGGTGTTTTAAAATTTGCGTTCTCTATTTCTTAAAAATGGTAGTTCAGCATTAAAGTTTTTATAAGCAAATAAATATATGTTTTTTCTTATCGTCTGAAAGAATATGCAGTGTGTCACTCAAGTTGCAAAAGAACATAATAACCTCAAAAGAGGATGCAGTTAGCCCAAGCATTATTTGGAACAAAGTAAACGAAAACAGGCAAAGTATATGATTCCTAATTTTGACGCCCAAATATGATTGTATTAGAAACTGGTATTTGCTTGCAAAACCTTTGAGTCTTTGAGGATTATCATAGGGCTTGTGTCTACCTCTCTAACCATAAATATCTATATGTGCTTTTAAGGAATTTATTATTTGAATGTATTCCTTTGCTATTGAATATGAAAGTGTAGATTAGAGAAAGATAGCCAGAAAGTTTAATTTTGTATGGACTGAAATATTACAAGATTTAAATATCCAGCTAACCGAAAAAAAACAAAAAAAATATCGAATGTAAACTAAAAAGTATTAATAATGAATTAGCAGTCATTATTGTTTGTTCTTTTTAAAAATATATATATAAATATATATTATTTTATTGCACGATTAAATAAGTATTTTTAGTGTACAAAGTTTTAAGCATGTATACATTAGATACTTCCTAATAATTTTAATTCTAGATTTATTGGTGAAGTTCACATGGACCCCGTCAGCCTTTTAAACACAGTTTTATAAATAATTTAAGTATGAAATTATTATACATATATGCCTTGTTTGAGGGTCTAAAACAATATGTAGTTTACTTAAAGAAAATATAAAAAATACCGTCAATATGTCAATTAATCGAACTAATTTCAGTTAAAGTTTCGGAAACATTATATATTGAAAATTAGTGATTTTACACAATGTTTTTGGTCAGTGTTTTTACAGTGATTGTTTTGAAAGTTAAAAATATGAAATTACTCATTGCCATATGATGATAATTGGAGATTGTTTTTCATTGTTTTTGAAATTCATTTAATTATTACAGAGATTTACCTGTTTATGTTACAATGTGTATATTTTCGCATATTATTTCTATGTATCATTTTTTGATAAAATCCCATATTTCTATTCAAAATGTATTTTCACGCAAAATATTTCCAAAACGAAGATAGATCTGTTAAAGCTACTGTTTTGGTATTTGTACTATACCAACAGGTATCTGTTTGTTTTCTACTAAGTAAAAATGAGACGGCGAAGTGGGAAATCGATGAATAATTATCTCTTATATCAAGTGCGATACCAAAATGCACATGATATATTTTGATTATTCAGGAAAATGATAAAATGAAATATTTGATTTAACTTTGACTAACTTTTAAACAGTGTATACTCCATCCTGAAGTGTTATCGTTACCATAACTCATTATGTTCATTAGAACAAATCCCATAAGCCTTAAAATAAAACATTTTACAATAGAAATTATGATGTAAAATATAGGTAACACGAGTAACCTTTTTAAGAAGAAAAACCCTAAGTATTCTAGTTCTGCTCTCAATGAAAATATGTGAATCGATACGATTATAACTATAACGAGTCGCTCGTGTGTGCCACTACCTTCTGAGCCTCATTTTCACCTAGAAGCCTTCATATTTCTGCAGTTCAACAAAATATTGTTTATATAAAAGTATAAGATTAATCCGTTATTACATATTGAAGCTAGAATTAGAAGACTGATTTTATATATTTCACAAATTCATTATTGTTGAAGAGACTCCAATGTAAAATTAGTTGGTATTTTACCAACATGGAATAAACCATTTTGCTTTACAATTGTTTCGATAAACTTGTTATCCTCCAATGATTCAGCAGTAAGTCTGCAGGCTTGCAGTTTTAAAAATTGGCTTTCGATACCCGTGGTTGGCAAAGCACAGATAATTCATTGTGTAGCTTTGCGCTTAACAACCACAATCTAGAAATTTATCAAGTGTTTTACTTGGTTACTTTTACTACATTACATACATAAAATATAAGCACTTACTACATTTTTTACTGATTGTCTATCCTTTGTTAGCAAAAACATAAAAGTCGATTGTAATATAACGTTAACTTTTACTCTAAACGCTTCCAAATGCTTTGATGCTATGTTATTGTTATTTAAACATATGGTTTCAATGAATCTCTTAAAATAGGATTTGTCTATGATTCCGTTTAAATTTATTGATCTGGTTCTTTAATTAATCTAATTATAGGCTTTCTTCCTAAAATTAATATTTCAAAAAGATTTAAAAAAATAAAGTTTTATCAGAAGAATTAACTTTGGATAATATCATATATCAAATGTTTATTATAGCTAAGATTTTCTTATAATAGTACAACAAAAACCCTACCTTCCATTGTACTTTAAATAGAAAATTAATACTCTTGGTGACGAGAGTTAGTTTAGAAATATTTCGATAAAACTATTTTTTGTTTCATAGTGCGATGAAGAATGAATTTTAAATACAAGGAAAACTAACTTTGCTATTTATATTGTTTTTTATCTTTAGCCATAGTAAATAATCAAGTACGTCTGTGAAATAATTTTTTTTACTTTTGTTTGGCCCCCCAGTAGCACTGTGGTATGTCAGCGGACTTACAACGTTAGAATCCGGGTTTCGATACCCGTTGTGGGCAGAGCACAGATAGCCTATTGTGTAGCTTTGTGCTTAATTACAAACATTTACAATTACAAATTGTACCTAATGATGACAAAACCTTATCAAAACGTTGGACATTTGCTGTTGTGTTAAACTTGTATTAAAGTTTTTCTTCATTACTCATTCAAGCCGTTTCCAACCATTATTAGTCTCAAAGTAGGTTCCTCGTCATCGAATTTGAATTCATATACTCAGTTCATAAAGATGTGCTCAAATTGGGGATTTAGAATTTCCAGGACGGGGATATCCTTACTGGCATTGTACAACAAAGGTAAATGGATCTCCTTGGGGGAGTATCAAGAAAGAGAACTGCAACAAGTCGTGTCCCATATGTGGTAAGCAAATTGAGGCATCTTTTAACAGCCGAGAACACAAAGATCAGTGAGTGCACTGTACCGACGTGAATTGTTTTAACGTAGCGTCCTCAATCTCTGTTTTTTTAGAATTTGGGAACAATACCACTATATATTTTATTTTTCTCTTTAGAAGGAATAAAGCATATTGTTGTCAAGTTTAGATTCATTTGAAAAAAAAAATTACGATATAGTTTCACACAACATAAATCCAAACAACACAATTCTAGAGAAATGTTGGTTTTAAAGAATATACATAACATTTAGTGGACTTTATCAAGTAACGAAATATCATTTTATCTGAAATGTGTTACTTGATCCCATTTTAAGAATAATGTGCCTGTTACAGAACTGATTCAACTCAAATATTGAGAAAAATTATCTTCCAAGGCAATATAATTGATAATTACTTTAAATGCTTCCTTTCGAATTTTGTTTTCAAAGCACGTGAAAGAAAGCTATTATCATTCATTATGTATATGAAAATATATGTTTTTTAAATAATTATTTGATTTTTTAAGAGCAAAGTCACATTGAAATATCTACTGTGTCCACCACGGGAATCGAACTCCGGATTTAAACTCTATTTTTTACACTAATTTGGCTAATCTCAAAAGGATAAGAAATGTAAGATAATGAAATCGTGATATTCAAAGAATGAAACTTCTAAAGAATATACTGTAGTACTGTTATGAGCATTTATATTAGGTCGTGAAGAAATTAATTTCGCGTTTTGGAACACTTCATTACCCCCCCCCAAAAAAAAACAACGTACACCACGTATAATAGTTAAACGAACTGCCTAAACGTCACGTTAATGTAGCCTATATAATGTGTAAAGTTCAGTATACTCTAATCCCTTATAGTGATGGCACACGACGAGGCACGTATTCTGCATGTAACGCTGTTTGAATATAATAAGGGAAACAACGCCTCTGTAGCCACAAACAACATCAAAAAAGTTTATGGAAATGTTTTGAAAAAACTGTCATGGCAGGGGCCGACATGTTGGAATTGATATTGATGCTCTGAAGACACTTGTTGAAGCTAACCCAAGGCAATACACTTGCAAAATGGCCCTGAAATTGCATGTCTTTCATGAAACAATACGTAAACATCTAAGGAATATGGAAAACTCCTTAGAGAAGGTGTTTGGGTGCCTTACGAACTCTTCGATGATCATCGTTTCCAACGTATGAACGTTGCATCGTCTCTTCTGGCGCGTAATGCGCGTGAACCATTTTTGGACAGAATTGTCACCGGTAATGAAAAATGGATTCTTTATTCGAATATTAAACACCAAAAGCAATGGCTCAGTTCTAGGCAAAAACCACTTCCGATTCCAAAACCTGGACTCCATCCGCAGAAAGTGGTGCTTTGCATTTGGTGGGACACGAAAGGGGTAATTCATTTCGAACTCCTCAATCCACAGCAAACTGTCAATGCAGAGATCTATAGTCAGCAACTGGAACATTTAAATCAAGCCCTTCATCAGAAATGCCCTTCACTCGTTAATCTGAAAGGTGTTCTTCTTCTCCACAACAATGCATGTCCACATGTGGCAAGTTTGACGCAACACAAAATTATGGAGTTGGGTGGGAAGTTCTCTCCCACCCACCATATTCTCCAGATATGGTAGCATCGGGTTACCATCTTTTTCGTTCGCTGCAAAACCATCTTAATGGGAAAACGTATACATATATGATAAGAATGGAGACTATTTCCTTTAATAAATGTTTTGTTTTGATATATATGTTGTTCGGGTTTTTTCATCTAAAAAAAAGCGACATTAACTTCTTGTCGACCTAATATAAACCTGGAATCCCTATTTAACATGCAACATATAGTACTTCAAGTAAAACTACATTCCTTTGGATATTAATATAAACCGTAATTGCATTATTTCAGGCGACCTGTTCTTGAATATTTATCTATATCCTAATTACGTTACTTTCGGCAACACTGCGGCTTAAATAGCTAATGTTTTAAAAGCAATGGGCGTGTAGATTGTTCGGTTTGCCCATTTGTAGTTTAAGCACAAAGCTGTACAATGGACTAATTTGTGCTCTGCCCACCACAGATTTTATATAATGTGATAACGAGTTTTCGCCATGCTCTCTGCCAAATTGTTTGGATATTGACATGCAATATACATTCTTCTGAATGAGAGTGCTAGTCGGATGTTTTATAATGTTTTCTTCTCAGCTATGGAATATTAAACGTACTTTATAAAAAGGATGTTCCAGCTGCTGGGCTGCTCTTGGAAATACTTCCTACAGTGTCGAATGTGACCCGTCTGGGATCATGGTTACGCAGTATTGATCGAAATATCAGCTTCCATTATAACAGTCTTCTGTGTAGAAAGGCAAGGTCCATTGTGGATTGCTATGTTGTCAAACTTTCCACAGGCTCTCAATGCAGGTGAGCGTCGCTTCCTAGACTACATTCAAATAAACTACATGCATATAAGTCTCAGGAT